CCATCCGGAGCTGACCCTTCACGATGCCGAGGCCAGGTCTCTGGGTTTTCTTTTGCCCTTAATCATCGCAGAAAACCAAGATCTGCGTGTTTCCCGGATTTCAGCTCTGTAGCTGGGTCTCCTCTGCTTTGGAGCGAGAACAACAGCTCCACGACCCCGCCTGGTGCTGGCCGAGCATCCTGGGTGGGATCTCAGACTCGGCCTTGAGCCGTCTCTGGGGAGAAGCGGGGAGAAAGCCAGGCGGCTCAGGGCCCCTGCAGCAGCTTTTCTGCTTTTGTGAGAGCCACTCAGAGGCCCCTTCTCTGTCACAGACTCCCGGAGGGCCAGAGCTACCAGAACAGCGGTGGGGACAACTCCCAGAACACCATTGATCAGAGCTTCTGGGAGGCCTTTGGGACCGCTGACCCCGCCAAGGCACACCGGTCCCCGAGCAGCGACAGCTGGACATGCGCGGACGCCTCAGCCGACAAGAGGAGCTCGGACAGTTGGGACGTGTGGGGCTCGGGCTCCGCGTCCAACAACAAGAACAGCGACAGTGGCGATGGCTGGGAGGCCTGGTGGGGCGGCGGGGAGGGCGCAGCCAAGGCCACCAGGGAGGGCGCGGCCAAGGCCACCAGGAAGGCTGCGCCACCCACGGCGGACGAGGTCTGGGACAACCAGGACTGGTAGGCCCCAGCCCTGCAGCCAGTGCTGTGGAAGGCAGCCTCGGGCGGGCCCCTGGGCCGTGCCTGCCGGTCGTGTGTCCCTGTGCCCACTCTCCTGGATTCTCGGCAGCCCTGGGCACCTGGGCTGGGCACTGTTGAGGGCAGGGGTCCATGCTGCTGCGGGGAGCCGGCTGCACCCTGCCGTCCCCCCACGCGCTCAGTAATAAACATCCTTCCTGGTGGCACGTGTGGCCACGCGTCAGTGGCTGAGGCTTGTCTCCCCCGACGCATCCTGGCTTTCTGTTGGTGCTGGCTTTTTTCCTCCTGAGGACGCTCTGGAGCTGCCATCACCCCTCTCCTGCACTCCACTCCTAAGTCCTGTCTTGGTGCGGCCTGTGCCTCGCGGGCCAGGGTCTGCACTGCCGCCCACCTGCCGTCAGCCCTCCACGAGTGTCCACTTGCCAGGCCTCAGTGCCGGGACTTGGCGCCCACAGGGAGGCCCGTGGGCATCCAGGGTGCTCTGGGGCGGGGCGCATCGGTACTTCGAAGCACCAGCCAGTCTGGTGGTGCTCTTGGGCCTCAGCCTTCCTCGCAGCCCCAGCCCTGCTGGCGTTGGCTGCGCCTGAGATGCTGGACCCCTGCCCCCCCACTGTCTCCTCCACAGTTTGGATCTCTGTCGGCCTAGGGCCCAGCTGACTTTGGCCCCTGTGTGTCGGCCCCCCTGTTCTTGGGGCCTGGCACTGACAGGTGCCTGGTCCACCCATCAGCTCTGATGACCTCGTGAGGCATGAGGCCGTGGTCGGTGCCCTGTCCCACACCTGCCTCTGCTGACCCTCCCGTCTGTGAGCCGGGCTTTGACCTGGTGCTGCGCAGACCTGAGTCCTTTGGGATTTGTGCAGGACGTCCCCATCCCTGCCCCACTCTGGTGGCCACGGCCCTGCCCAATGGGCCCCTCTCCCGCGTGAGGGCTTGTGTGTCAGGCCTGCAGTATGTCCCTGAGGTGGGGGCTGACAGAGGGGCCAGGGTGGGACAGCCCTGCCGTCCATAGCGCTCCCTTCAGGATGTCCACGCGTGCCTCTGGCTGACTCTGAGGATCTCAGTCACTGAGCCAGTAGTTGACCTGGATCTGAGGTCAGAGGTCAGGCCAAAAGCCAGGGCCGCATTTGGCCAGTCGGGCCCAGAGCTGGGGAGCTCAGGGGAGCCAGGCGCAAGGTGAGCATCCCCATCGGGCTGACGTGGTGCCACTGTGGCGTCCCTCGGGTCAGCGCCTGTCCTGGTGGGGGGGTGTGGCCCATCCCGCTGCAGGCTTCAGGGGCATTTGTTCTGTTGGTTCTGGTCCAGGAGGCCCTGCCCCAGAGTCCACGTTAAGCTGGGAGTAAGCTGCCCTCTGCCCTGGGGCCCTCTTCACCACCAAGTGCAGGGACTGGGGCAGAGTGGGAATCTCTGCTCCCCAGGCCCACTTCAGGAGTGCTGGGATGTGGTGGTTTGACTGTCCAGTCCCCCCCCACCCCGCACAGAGGCGCTGACGTCACCATAAAAACACCCAGGAACACAGAGTGGTCTGGCTGAACTCCCAACAAAGGTGCAGGCAGGGACCAGGCCAGGTGTGCGGGTTAGAGACCGCTGGAGGTTCTGGACCTGAGGCTGTGTCTCCGGGTCGGTCTTCCGTGTTGTTCTGTCCGGGGCAGCACTTTGGGGCAGGTGGGCCCAGACTGAACAGGTGAAGGTGGTTGGGTCTGGGTGCGGAGGCCGGTCTGGGCTGGGTGTGGTTCTGGGTGGGACAGTGCTGGAACCTGTTCTTGGCTGATCCCAGTCACCACCCCCACCCCACCTGGCTTGTACAGGCCAGGCTGGCCTCCATCTCTCCAGGCAGCTCACCCATCAGCCGTGGAGCTGCCCTGGCCCCCAAGCTGTGTGTGCTGCCCACCAGACTGGGCCTCCTGGCCAGTCTCCACTCCCTGTTTGCCCCAGACTTGGCCAAGGCACCAGGACTGATCAGCAGACACTTCAGGGCAGCCCCTGGTCAGCTTAGGTCCCTTGTCCAGAACTTTCATGCAACCAGGGACGGCCTGTTTTTCCTGGCTGCCCCCTTTACATGTGTCCACTTTCGCTGCCACCCTGTCCAAAAGTTCCTCCCAGCCAGGTAGCCCTGCCCCGTGGGCCCTATGCCTGTAAGTGCAGATGCTGGCAGCCCTCCTGGGGCCCCACGCCCTGAGCCAGCCCTGCAGGAAGACGGGGCGCAGAGCTTCCTGGGGACCGTGTGGGTTGGGATTCCTGGGTGGTGGGCACCCCACCCTCTGCACCTACTCCGGTCCCACCAGCCGTGCTGCGTGCTGACCCCAGCCGCCAGGTTGCACGGGGTGGGGCTGGCGGCAGCTGCGCTGAGGCACGGCTCAGTACTGAGGGTTGGCTGCCCAGGCGCTCAGAACTGGAGCTCCTGGGGTCCCTCCCCACCGCTGGGGCTGGGGGAAGTGGGGCCTCTGCTCGGGGTTCCCACCTGGACGCTGGGATGAGGGCCATGATGGGAGACTTTCACCAGCCAGGACGCCACGGCTGTGCCACTTCCAGAACTCCCAGCGAGGGGCCTGCCTGGCTCTAACCTGTCCTTTCTCAGCTGTGACCCAGGGCAGCTCACGCCCTGGCCGAGCCCTGACCCCGCTAGGTCGGCTGCAAGGCCTCGGGTGCTCGCGGGCACAGAGCACCTGTCGGGTTCAGAGACTCCTGGGCGGGCACATGGGTGGGGGACCAGATGGGGTCCAGCCAAGGGCACTTGCTGACTGGCTCACGTGAGTGGAGGGCAGTTCCTTGGAGCGTGTGGACATGCACATGAGTGTCCTGCGTGCCTGTGAGCCATGGACGTGGATTGATGGTGTTAGTTGTAGCCGCTAGACCAGGTGCCCTCTGCTGGCTTCTGCTTGGGTCTGCAGGGCCCACCTATGTGTCAGGGTGTGGTCCCAGGACCCCAGCACCCAGCACCCAGTGCAAGGCATCCACCAGCACTGTGGCATCCATAGCATCCAGCCATGAGTTCACAGGCTTGAGCAGCTCTCGGGCCACAAGTCTCAGACCTCCCTTACTTGAGATGCTCAGGTCAGGAGCATTGACCGCCAGGCAGGATGACAGGGCAGGGCTGGGGCGGGACACAGGACACCTGGTGCAAGGCTGTGGAGCTGACTGGGTCCTGCAGCCCCACCTGGTTGCTAGGGGTCTGGGGGAGGAGCAAAAGTGCCCACCCCTCCGGCAGCATCCAGCCCCGACCTTTACCCACGACCCCTCACAGTCTCCAGCGAATATCACATCCCCGACTGTCCTGTGCATCCTGAGTGTCCTGTGCCGGACCCGTCTCCCCCAGAGCATCTCTGCCCCCAGAAGCTGAACTCAGAGCAGGGTCAGAGTGGCCCTGGCAGCCTCGGCACACAGCGCTCAGCACCCCCCGACACACACTGGCTACCTGAGAGAGGGGGCCTGTCAGGTCCAGGTTCGGGTAGAGTGGGTCTGGTCAGGGCAGGCCCTGGGGCCCAGCTGGGCACCCCCTAGCACTGGTCACCGGTCCCAGCCTGGGGCTGTCCGGTCAGGTGGGGAGGCTTGGGGAGAGGCCTTGCTTGGCAGGCC